TTTCACCAAACTCACCTCTAGAGTCATCTACACTCCCAGCACGGCTCGTAGCTCCATCACTAGGCCAAGCACTGATCCCAAATAAACCAAACTGAAGATTCACCGGTTCAGCTCTCTGTAAGTATCCATAAACAGGATGCACCATTCCATTTGCCTCCATTGTACTCTCATCAACCTTATCACCAAGCGGCCAAGTTCTCGCAAAAGTGCCATCAGTGTTGAGAAGAGCCATTAGATGCCTAGAAGAGCCTTTTCTTTGGATCAGCTGAAACATTCCTTTGGAACTCAATGAATTAGCTGTACACTGGTTCCTATACTCGTCGTCTATCACAGAGACTGTATTAGTAATAGCATCATAGAGCTGTTCTCCTGCTTCTCTCCTACGCAAGCAGCTGAAGACTGTGGCGTGGATCGCAGCCACACTCTTGTCGACGTTGGTGTTGTTTATCTTGGGAACTAGATGTTTTTCAGCTCGTTTACACAAGTAGTCCTGTATTGTTCTGATGTTACGTATGTATTTAACGTACTTGTTTTTCTCAGGGTCTAGTGTCATGTACTTAGCTCTTACTGCAAACCGTTCCAAGTGTTTCTCCTCGTTTGAGATGTAAACCATGAAAGGAACAATCGAAGGATGCTTTTTCATTAGTCCCATCTACAAGAGGAAAACTACAACTTCATGATTGCTCTCAAAATAGAAATGTGTCTAAAAGAGGGACTTACCACAAAGTTAAGGCTTAGATGGACACCTTCAACAACCACAGACTCTTTCCTTTCTTCCCATGCTGTAATGAGCTTATCAAGATTCTCAATCACCATCTCACTTTGAGCCTTGAATCCTTCTACAGCCATTTGCTTGTGACTTAACAATGTAGCAGCAGTGGTGATGTTCGCTTTTTCATCCTCAAGTATTGATTTGCCATAATTATCCAAGTTCTTGGCTCTTCTTCTTTTGGCTTTGGATTCTGCAACTGCCACAGGGTCAAGGTACTCTCCAGCATGGTATGTTGAAGCCCAAAGCAAAGGATCTTGCTTCTCATCAACAAAACTCCTCATCATGTGACGGATTGAGTCGGTTGAGACAACCGTTGTAATCCCGAGCCTGCTTCCCTGAAAACACAAAATGCAGCATTGTCCTAAAGCAAAAGACCAAAGCTTCTTATGTCTTATCTAAAGCTCATCAACGGTTGTGCTGAAGAATACCAGAAGTGCTGAGAGAGTAGATTTACCACAGCCACTAGTACCACAGAGTAGAACAGTCACAGATTCCTTCCTTTCTCGAATCCTGCAAGATCTTAGAAAGGTAAGTAACGCATGGATCTAATGTTTCTTGATTAAAGGTAAGAAGATTTACTTGCAGGCAAGAATCAAGTCTGCTCTTTGGTCATGACCAACATACTTATACTCAGCTAGAGAGTCACAGACAACGTTGACGAATATCTCTCGTGGAACAACAACGGTTGTGCGCCTTTTATGCATCTCAGAGGGCTTACTCTTACTCTTATCAGCATCATCTGAAGCTGAACACTTAAAATTGTCTTCACCAACAGAAGCTGAAGCAGGATCACATGTCTTGTCAAATACAGATTCTTTCACATGTGAGGGTGAGAGTATTAAGGATCCCTCACTTCTTATTAGCTCAAAAACCCTCCGGCTAATCTGCCCACAACAACAACAACAACAAAAAAAAAACAGAACCTTGAGGATCTATCAAGTGGTGAGTTACAAACACCATAAATCTTGAAACTTTATTATCTTATTTTAAACAAAAGCAGTGTTCTTAAAATCGGTAAAGACTTGCCTAGTGGATATGAAATCAATCCGATCAAAAATTGGTATGGTCTAGGAGCCCGCCTAAACAATAATCTAACCACCATTCTTGAACATAATAAAATTGAAAGACACAAGCAACAACAGAATACTAATACTAATTTGACTCAGGAGCAATGATCTTATCTCCAAGGTAAAAGAATATTCAATCTAGAGCTGTGAATCAGTATCATTAATGAAAGAACAGACATTATAATGCCAAATTACGAAATTAAGACAAAAAAAAAAAAAAAAACATGCTTAATCTTTGTCTGAATCCAACACACATCACTGTTCTAGAACGCAATTCGACATTCGTGTTCCATCCAATTTTCTTAATGGAAGTAAATCTCAGATCACTAAACGACAAAAAAAGAATCAGAATCTGAAGAAAGTGATGTTTGTTCGAAATAAATCAACAAAAAAAAAAGAATCTTTAAGAGAATCAGTGATGACCTTGAAAGCGTGACGAGCTTTGCAACCCATAAGCTGAAGAGTACTCTGCAAAACCGGACGTGTGTACCGAAATGAATCTTTCCAATTCCCGGTTCCTTCTTCTTCTTCCACAATCGCCTTCACCGTATCAACATCTCCGTCGTCTACCACCACTATGTACATCACCTTCGTCGTCTCCGTCATGTTTTTACAAAACTAAACCGGACTCTACAATTGATGATTAACCGGAATGCGAAATCTTATATGAATGAGAAGAAGAAGAAGAAGAAGATGGTGTGGCCATTTTGTGTCAGCTTTGTTCGACGCATGGCTTCACTACAGCATCCACAAGTCTCTCTTTAAAAGGATCCAACCTTCCTCTCTGTTTTTTCATTACAGAGGATTTTAAAGGATGTACTTTTTTATTTATTGGCTTGTTGTTTGGTTCTTTTGCAACTCGGACTGTGTGTGAATGTTTTCCTTACAAATGTTAACATGTGTTTACGGGTAAATCTTTTGATTTTAAAATAGTGATTTTTTATTTCTCTCCGGTTATTTTAAAATTTTGTATAACCAAGTCTTCTGCCGACCTCGTTTGATCCGGTCTTTGTCAACATTTAACTAGGATCCAATTTTAAGGAGTAAAAGTAGTACTATATGTTAAAAGCAAACAGACAAAAGAAAAACTATTGTACTACTAATTGTTTTACTATATGTTTTGAAAATCTATGGTCCAGTTTTCCTGTAAAAATAAAAACTCAAATCATGATTCGCGTGTTCCAACTTACAAAGGTGAATAATCTGTATGACCCAATTTCTGCAAAACCTTTTTTTGGTAAAAAATCAAAAGCATGATCAGAATGGTAGGTTTTGTGAGATATTTTCCCCATTCTAAAATTCTAAAACAACGAAACACTACCTAACAATAGGTTAGATAACTCACAAATATATGCGTAAATAAATATAAAATATGATAACTCAGATACGTATTTCAACATTCCCCAACCATATAACTGTTTTCTTTTTTATTATCATGAAACAAATTAGAATTATGGTTTTCAGCAAAACTATTGATGTTTTTATAAACATAACTGTAGAATTGCATAAGCATAAAAAAAAATCCTATAGTTTTTATTTATATTTTCACTCTATTTGTTTTACATGTCCAAAACATATTATTTCCAAAATCAAAACGAAGTAACTGAATATTCAGTCACATGATTCATTCATCTAATCAAAATCTTAACTGTCATGACTTCTTAAAGTCTTCCTGGGACAATCATTCCCCCCGCAGATGACGAAAGTAACCCTTATCTCCGCCATAAATCACGTGTTCAACCAACTAGTTGTATCACTATCAAAGGGTGTTTTTAGGGAAACCAACCGCTTAATGGGCCTTCTTGATTTTAAAGCTAACCCATGGGCCCAGGAACGAGGATCAAGCAGGGGTAGCATTGTAGTTATCACGTGAGAACAAGGGTAAAGCAGCTGACTGTGTGAAAAGGACAGGAAGAGTGGCTATCACTTGACCCTGTCAAATAATTTTCTTCTTTGCTTCTTTTAAGATATTCGTCGCAAACATTGTACAGGTTTGGTAGTTTATAAGTGGACGTAACGTCCAAATTAATGTTTTGCAATTCAAAACGAAAGGGTGATGACTAATGAACATTATCTTGTGTTAAAGAGTATATAGTTGTCGTCCTCATCTTAGCTCTTTTATCCTTCTCCCCTACCTGGCTTGGAATCTGAATTCGTCACCTATGATATGTTGTATTTGCCTAATACCACTTTTGATAAAGTATGCGATTGTGATTCACCGTATTTTAATTTAGGTTTGTACTTTGGAATCGTGCATATGAAGAGAATCACAGAATTCATGCTTAATGCTCCTCGTAATGGTCTTTTGAAATAATTGGATCTCATCTCCATAATATCTAAAATAAATTACTAAAAAGATTGAAAAAGTTAGATAATAATTAAGTTGCTTCGTTGGTTTCATTTTTTTCGGAAAAGGAACATATATATTCCCACAAAAAGTCTATACGATTATAGGTGTTGCAACTTATAAAATTTGCAACACATATTCAATGACAAGGAGAAAGTCTTTATTATTTTTTTGCATGTTGCAAAAAGAAACTTTTTAAAGTGTTTGGTAGTAGTTGAGCTCCAGTTAGTTTGAATAGAAGTATACAATATTTCAGTTTGATTTCGACGCTATAGGTGTAATAAAAGTTGGCCGATGAAAATACTCAGTGCATGAGAATGTCTATATTATTATTATATATTGAAAGACATGTAGAATGATTCAAATAAGAGTTACTATATATAAATTACACAAGTATACATGTTGACCAAAGTTAATGTATCTCTTTGGACGGCGATGGCTTCTGTTGACTAGACATTTAGACATTCCCAATGTTCCTGACGAGATCGATGTTGGACTCTCTCTAAGTTATACTACTATATTTTAATACTATGTATTTAACGAACGAGATTATAGGTTGAAGAACAATTAGTTGGCCCTAGTTGATCTCAAAGGCCGGATAATTCGTTTCACCACCTTAACTTGAGAAAGTGATAAGACTAAGCTAAAACACATGCACTCTTGTTTCTCCACTTTTTACTCACATCTTGCTTATATATATCTTATGTGAATGTCGTTTTCAAATCTTGCTTATATATATTTTAGTCCAATCGATTCTAAAGCTTTTAAAGAGATGGTTGAAAAACAAAACCAAAGTATAACCAGTTTAGATAATGTTTTTAAATTTTATTCAGAAGTGTTAAACTCTCTTCAATGTCTTTGATCATCTGCTCATTTCATTTTCGTTTTGACATTCTTTTAACTCTCTTTTTACAGTTGAACTGTCCATTTAATGAAAAATATCTAAGAATCATAACATGAATCAATTACAAGAATAAGGGAAACAACAGACGCCCTACATAAGATATACTCATCCTCATCGCATCAATTCCATGAACACAAAGCCATTCCACAAGCTATGCAACAGCATCGAAGGCAACAAGTTCCTTGACCTTGCGAATATCAACCCCAAAACCACTCCAAGGAACACCAACGGCAACATCCTCTGCACATTAAAATGCGCCAAAGCAAACGCAACCGAGCTCACAAGAATCGCACACCAAACCGGCATGTACCTTGTCAGAGACGGTAGCAAGAACCCCCTAAACACAATCTCTTCCCAAACCGGTGCACAAACCGATACCACAACCGCATACAGGGCCATCGCAACAGGGTCTCTAGCCATTATCGATTGCTCCACGCTAGAGAGGGAGACGGGACTCGAGGTTGGTGGGAGTGGCAAGAGGTTTAGGTTTAATTGGGAGAGACGGTTAACGAAAGGGAACATGAAACAGCCTATGATAACGTCTAGTTGCCAGTTTCCTTTTAGGGTGAAACGGAACCAATCACTTGCGAGTGGACGGAACATGGAGAGGCAACGGTGGAGGATGGCGATTCCGGCTAGGCCTTCTGTTACATCGGTTATAAGACTGAACAAAGCTTGGCCTCTAAAGGTGAGAGAGTCCTTGTGGAAACCTGATATATGAGCCATGAATGGGATCATCCATGATCCAATGAACCAGAAGGCGGCAACCCATAAAAGCATCACCTGAACAAGTTTATGTTGGGGGCATCAGAGTTAATAGCAAGTTTAATCAAGGAAAGCTCAATACTATTTGTTTTTCATCTTCTTCATGCACCAAGGCAACTATAGTACTATTAGCTCAAACTCAAAAGTTTCGTTTCAACAACCTAAATTTAACTAATACAGGCTCAAGAGACAAGATGTGTACTGGCCGGTTCGAGTGATACATATTCGCTTTCTAGTTTTAATAATACGTCATATGCAGACTCAGTAACCATAGTATCATTCCACTAACTCATATATAACTCTAATGACACCATCAGGTAAAGGTTCTAGTAGGAAGTGTTCTTGTGTAAAAGTGTGAACGAACCCAACATGGCAACAGAAAAGACGGGGTATTAAGATATAAAGGTACCTGAACAATGGTCTCAGCAGTCCATGGTACCTTCCAACGAGTACCAATCCCCTTTAAAACAGCATCCGCAGCCTGAAACCCCAAAGAAAGAAAATGCTAAATGAACCCAATAAATAATGTCCTGAACACAAGAGTAGCCTTATCTGCATCCTCACATCATTTTGAATAAAAACGAAGGCTTAAGAGTTTCATGGCACGTTTCCAAATCACAAGAGACCTCAACTAGTAAACAAAAATCGAGTGGATGATGATGATACACTAACAGTTTAGTGACGAAGATGAGATTTTGCTGCAACACTAATCTCCAAAGTCTATACACTAACATCAAAACTGGTTCTTTTTATCAGACTAACAACAGAGACCAAAAAAAAAAAAAGTAGTTCTTTACTTTCTGAAGAGTTGAGTTCCAAGGCTTTTGATCTGCACATGGCTGCTGAATATCTTGATCAGGCTTCTTCTTAACTACTTCCTCGGGTTCTTGATTCTCGGGAGCAGAATCCTCATTTCTAAAACACTGAATCTTCCATTTCTGCACAAGAACATAGCACCCAAAGTTTCATCAAAATCAAATTCAGAGAGAAAGAAGACGAAGAAGACAGAGGCGTACGTGCTTGGTGGACTTGGTAGAAGGAGAAGCAGTTAGAGGAGAAACGTGGGTGAGAGTAGGGGAGAGTAGAACACGACGAGGAAGCCTAAAATTGGAACGGGAGATGGAGGAGAGAGCTGGGCGGTGGCAGAGGAGAGACGAAGAAGAGCATGGTGATGTCAACATGGGAGAGAATCTCTCCAAAAGCTTTAATAGACAAGAAAGCCTTCTCGCCGAATCGGTTTCGCACTAGAAATGCCAAGTGAGAGAGAAGCTACGAAGAGTTTCTTCTTCGTTTCATCAGAGAAACAGAGAGATTCAAAATTAGGGTTTGGGAGATTTGGGGATTTTTTGTTTTCGTGATAACTAATTTTTGGGTGTGGTTGTTGTCGCCAGACAAACACAAGACGTATTCAATTTTTCTTTTCCTTTTTTTTCTTTTTTGTTTATTGAATGTAAAATATTCTTTGGCGTTTGTCTATAAGGAGTTTGTCTCTCGGCCCAAAGTCCATTAATTGGTTCCAAAAAGGGTGAAGCCCAACTCATCTACATTTGAATATCTCTAAACTTATTTAATTTTCACTCAATTAAATCATAATTAATTTGAGATTAAAATGACTCATTTCTATCTTAATCTAAATTCAGTGTTAAAATAAATAAAAAATCATACGAAATTTGAGATTAAATATATTCTTCAACTCTACTCTATTTTCACTGTGAAATAGAGTAAAGAATAGTTTATGAAAATAGGGAAAAAATATCAAACCAAATTCTCTGGTTATCAGCTCTCTTGTGTAAAACTACTGCATTGAGATCTTTCTCTCTGGATAAGCTTACACTACTGAACTCTCAAGAGAAAGCTAAGCTGAAATGAACAGCCTAGCTTACTTCCTTGCAAAAGACACAGTTGATCACTTCAACACCATTCTCAAAACGCTCAATTATCTCTCTATGTTCTACTTCTTTAACAATTCAAGATCAACCGTCGCAGACAATTTTTCATTGTCCTAATCTCTCTTGTCTACTGTGTGACTTCGCATAGCCATAATTTCTTGGCTTAAAAGTTAATAACATTGGTAATTTGTTTTCCTCTCTTCATCTAGAATTTCATATTTTTAAAAAAATGAAATAAAAGCCGAAAATTTGACGATCTTATTTCCAAATGAGATCACCCATGAACTTAAGTGCTGGAACCCCTCTTATTTCTGCATCTAGCAATGGGGATTGTATCAGTTTCAACCCGGAAAGTTCTGTATCCTTCTGAATAAGTCCGAGCACACGCGTTTGTTCCTGGAAATATCAACAACCATATCACATTAAAGGTTATAAAAAATGGCTATGTCTACTGGAACCACCAAGCTAGTACTGAAGACTAGAGTGTTACCTTTCGTCTCACTGAGCAAAATTTGCAGTCGGATTCAGAATGAGGTAGAAGCTGATTAACAATAAGCCTGTGAACTGGCACATTCTCTTTTCTTAAAGATTCATGTAACCTCGAAGTCTCGTTTATTGCCATTACCTACAAGGAAAGATAATAGCCGAGGTGCCTAAGTAACCACATGGAAATCAATGATCTTTGTAAACAAGAGAATAGTATTACCGTTGGGATGGTTACAATGACAAACTCAGTAGTGTCCACATCACGGAAAACATTTCGAACTTTCTCCATTCTTTCTTTCAGTTGATCCAGCTCATTGGACTGTTGAGAAAATTTAATCTTCAGAGTTTTAAAAAGGTGAACAAGAGGTATTGATTCAAGTGAATAAACTATACTTACAGGTCCTTGTTCTTGTATCTCTTTTTTTTTACCAAAAACGGACGTAAAGGCTGACGCTGCAGCAGTGATCTTTTTCTTGAGCTGAAATAATCAAATCATTCATTTAGCTACAAGTAAGCTAAAACATATCAATTTTGAAATACACAATGTTCAAACCTTTGTTATTTTGCTAATGGATGAATCATAGAAGTCAGGCAGAGAAAGAAGTCGCAGAGTATGTCCCTGCAAGAAACTATATGAATCAAACAGAATCCATCAAGAGGAATGTACTTGGAATGTATATATACTAACCGTGGGAGCAGTATCGAAAACTATACGTGTGAATTTACTATACTCTGGTGACTCCACAAACTGAAGAACCTGTAAAGAGATCTCAACATTCTTTTATCATCATTCAGGGATTTCTAAATTCAATAGGTAACATACATGCCTTGGATATAGCAGCTATTTCGTCAATACCAGGTGATGCAGCATTGAGCATATCTTCAAGATTCAAGTCTCCTAACTACCCAAAAAAAATGGATAAACATATCTTCAAGACATTTACATAATACAAAACCTTGAACATAAACAGAATACAAACCTCGCCGGCAAACATTCCTAGCCCCATGCTATCCATCATGTTTTTAACGCTTTTATCACCCGCCTGGTTTTTAATCTCTTCCTTCATTCTCTCTGGTGTTATCTGAGAAAAAAAACTCAGCAACATATGCTAGGTATATCAAGGAGTGTGTTAAGTAAGTTTATTAATCACCTCGAGAGCTAGAAGTGGAGAATCAACACCTTGAACAGGCTTTAACACTCCTCCTGACAAGTCCTGAAAACCAAGAAAAGAAACACTAATATATAATCTTCTAACTGAAAAACAAACACTGAGAGCCAAATCAGATTGAGACCTGAGAGAAAGAATCACTCAAGGAGTGAGCAGGATCAGTTGAAACCACAATGGTGGGATGACCATGGCTAGCAAACTTAACCGCCAGAGAAGCAGCACAGCTTGTTTTCCCCACACCTCCTTTACCTCCCAGAAGGTAATACTTTCTCTGGTTGGCTGATACCATCTCATCAAAACAAGACGCTCCTCCTTCAGCTAGAGTAGCCAATGATCTCCCTACAAAAAAAAATTGCAGCAATGTGAGCTACATATCTAACCAGGACCAGTCCTCCACAATGTCAAATGAAACATTCGCCTCAGACCCCAAACTATTTTGAAAAATTACAAAATTTGTAAAAAAAAAATTTTATTGAATGTTTAACTAAACCACCTATAGCCGTCAAAATCTCAGAGCCGGCCATGTATCTGACTATTCACTATGTGATCAAACAGTAATCTATTTACAGGCTCCATTACTAATCAGTAAAAAGAAAGTTCTCATCTTACACAACTTCACAGAGAATCTAAGAGCCATTGCCACAAAGACAGAACATTTGTGTCTCAATTAACAAGTAAGAACATGGAGAGTAATCAAAGACTGAAACTTTAACCAACATCAGATCTGAAACAGAGTAATTCTATTCAACAGTGAATTTTTAAAAATGTTATCTTTATCATATGGGTTGATGGGAAATGGTCAAAAGGGTACCTCGAAAGAGTGTTCCGGAGATTCTCCCAACGAGAAATTGAGCATCGAGGGAGCTGAAACTCAGAGCTCCTCCGACCCGATGGAGAGAAACAGAGCGTGAAACACGGTTCAGAAGAAGGGAAGCCGCCATTGTTGAAGAAGAGATTAACTTTTACAGATCAGTCACTGTTCCGGAGGATGCTGAGAAAGTTGAAAGGCGGTGAAGGCGACCAAGGTGAGAGAGGGTTTAAGCGAGGTTTTTAGGAATTGATCCTTCACTTTTCAGGATATTGAAAAATTAATTAAAACCGGTTGTTTTGTTAAAACCCGATCGAACCAGATTCGTACGTAAACCGAATTTGACATTTTTGGAAAATTAAAACCGGTTATTTAAACTCCGGTCTGGTGAGGTCGCATCACTTTAGACATTTTAAGTTCAAGATCACATGTGACATTATTTTATCTCAAGCCATTTTGTTTGTTGTACGTTTAGTTAAAGAAGAAATTAAACTTGTAACTATTTAGGTGGATATATTGTTGAAACAATCTTGATATAATGATATGAATTTCTTTTATAAAGACGTTTATGCTTAATTATGATTTTAGTGTAACATAATAAGAGGATCGTGCAGCGCACTTGATAGATACATTACTAGACCTCCCACCAAAATCTCTATCAAGCACACTTCTAATAGAAGATGGGACAAAACATACAGAAGTGGCACCGAAACAACCTTGCCGAGAACATTATGATCAAGTGTCTAAATTCCATGGAGCTAGAGAAATCTGGTCCCATCTCGAGATGCACTCCTTAATTTCTCTTTGAGCTCGAGAAGCTTTAGGGTGGACAACGCCCTGAACGCAACCTCCAGTTTCCATGAATCTCGTGTTTTATAAAGAATCAAGATCTTTATGGACTATTTGATGTAGAAGCATCTTTGGCTAGATCGAGACATTGGCCCCGTACAAGAATCTTGTCATCTTCACTTCAAGTTCTATAGATTCCAAGTGCATTTTAACTTTTCAATCTCTTGAGCTGCATTGCCTATCGTCATCTTCACTTTAAGTTCTATATATGGATTCCATGTCAGGTTCAAACAGGTAATAATTATATGTTGGTCTTGACCATTTTTTTCCTAATGATAACAGTTTTGACAAATAGAAGAAATTCTTTTAACAATGTATCTGTGCTAGTAAATTTCGACATGTATTTATGATATTGTAAATTCAAATAACTAAACCAATACATCCTTTACAATTTGATTCATGGTTCGTTATCCAATATATATATATATATATATATATATTCGATTTGCTTTGTTGACCAAATCGTTATCTTTGAATTCAACAATTGTGTCATCATCTATACTATATTAAAAGGAGCATATCCTTCCCCCTCGTGAAGCCACGTCGGATTATTTATTTGACCAATAGGAGCTCTATTTTCGTCCAACTCAGCAAGCATATCGATTGGGCTTGAGTTTGTTTTCGTCAAAATTGTTGTGGCCCATTAGAGTCCAGATTTATTGAACCCTAAAAAGTTAGACGCCTCTCCTCCTCTCCGTGTTGCTCTTCCTCTTTGTCGCTTCTTCTTCCTTTTCTTGGCTTCCTCTAATCCATTTATGTGTCTCCTCCGCCAAACCTGATGAAGTGTTATTCTTCAGAGTTCTCCACGTTTGACCTCCTCTCTCTTACTCGCCTTCAGGTTTTCTCTCTAGCCGGATTCTCTCTCCCGTGCCTCTCTCTCTCTCGCCGGACCTCTCTCTTCTCTTCTTCTCTTTCAAGTTAAATGCTATATAAAGCAGCTATTACAGGGCTATTACAGGACTAGATGACTGTCCAACTGATCATGTTGTAACTTTATGGTACGATCTCCTGAGCTCTTGCTTGGAGCTTCCATGTTGTATCACTTCTTCTTCGTCATTTTTCAGCAGCGGAAAGTCAAGTGACAATCACTTCTTGGGAACCATCCGAGAATCTATTGGCAACTGGTTTCAGCTTAAAAATCTGTAAGGTTTATCATTCATCAACAAATTTTTTCTCTTATAGTTTGTACTTCAAGAAACATTCAATGGCTCTAAATTCGTACATGGGAAAACTCCAAGCATAAGTTTGGGTCATGTAACTGGTACACTGATGTGTACTCCAGGATATGCATATTGTGAGTGTTCATTTTCTTCTTATTTTTGATTGAACGGAACTGCAGTAACATACTAAACAAGTGCAACTCAAAAAATTTGTAGGTGTTATTGCGGCCACAACGTGTACACATGGAATGGTTTGTATGAGAAACAATAGACGACTAACTCCCAAATTTATATGTTGGTTTGATTGATGCAGATATCTGCTATCCTCTCAAATCTCTTACGTCAATGCTGAACAATATCTCAGACTTAACGACGAGATGGAACTTCCATATCGGAAAGTAGCTCCTTTTATTCTTTAAAAAATGCCTCAGCTGCATAGAAGATCGATGCAGTAGCCTCTATGGGTCCCTGGTCCCTATCTTATAACTAAATGGGAAAAAATGCTAGCTCTGTTTTTTTCAATGTCACCATTCTACTCTGTTTTGAATTTACAGTTTTCTCTATCTTGTGTTGTATTTGTAGTTATGATGGCACGGGTTAGCTATCAAGTTACTTCGTATAGATCATGTAGATGTTTCTCATGTAGATGCTATATCCTATATAGCTTCATGTATATGCAGTCAGATTCAGGAGAGTACGTGAAAGCTATCTATAATTGTTATTTAGCACTTAATATAATTCCTGGTCATACGTGAATAAGAAAATGTATTGGAATCCTATTCCAATAGTGAAACTTTTGGAATTTTGACTACAAAATAACACATCTACAAATCATAAACCAACTTTGCTAAAGTTAATGGAAATAAAACAAAAATTACTGTTTCAGTGTAAGAAAAATATATTTTCAGTCCAAAAAATTCAGCTATTATATTTTAAAATGTTACTTTATTTCAAATTTAAATAAACTTAAATACAATGTAAAACAAAAAATTATAAACAATAAGCTTAATTTATTTTAAATAAATAAACGTACGTAGTAGCAGTATCTTTTATTTTGCTAAACACAATTTGAGAAAACTAATTCAAAAATTTCATGACAAATAATCTACAGTTCAGTACATCAACTCGAGATAAACCTTCCATCTACGGTTGAGAAGAATTATCATAAAGAAAAGAAAAATTTGTTGTGGAACATCTTACCAGCTAACTATATATAGAGTCCTTTGTCATATCCTTGAGTGTTCTTAATAATATAAACATCTTCCTTTGTGTTAGAAATTATATGTGTCTATAACTAAACATTTTATCGATATAAATTTGATCCTAAACACCTATTTTGTGATTGTAATTTGTACGTACTATCATTCATATCTATCACTAAACACTTTATCGATATACTTTTGATCCTAAGCACTTCATTTGTCGTTCTATCTACTATGTGTATGTAAATTTGTATACCCTAGATAGTTTATGAACACAAAAATTCTACAAATAATTGATATTTAGAGGCCATTCTCTTCACTCTGTGAAAATATTTACACAATAAATCACTATAAACTTTATGAAGGCTTTGTTTTTAGTAAATTTAGATTATGATATGGCTTATTTCATACATCGACATAGAGAAATATATATAGCATTCACATATTCTCTTTGATGTCTTATATCTCATTCCTTGGACTTGGACCATCAATGCTGAAAAAGAATCTCATGAAAAATAAAGGGAAACTATCTAAGCTATCATTTTTTAAAAACCATTTTTCATGTTTATATTAACCACAATTATCTTGGATTGTAAGGCAAATAGACATTTATAATCCTAGGTTTAATAATCTAGACTTAAAATTTAATTTTGAGGGGTGGAGTTTTGGGAAAAAGTGTAGAATTTTAATAAAAGTATAAATAAATACTTGAAACTAAAACTTTTTTTAAAATAACCTCCTTAATGAAATTTCATACTTAGGTAATTTTGAAAATGTCCATTTACAGAAGATAAACATGAATAATGGTATTAAATAGAAGATAAAGGTGATATTCCCTCAAAAATAAAATAACATTTAGAAGAACAAAACATGTAGAAAAAATAATATTTAGTACATATATTTGATATTCAAAGAACCTCATGAAAACAATTCTGTTTTTCTCAACTTTTATGAATACGCAGAAAAAATATTCAATAAGAAATGAAATGTTTACCTTTTAAGATGACCTTTACAAAAATAAATTATACATGAAAATCTGCATTGTAAATATAGAAAGAAATTTTTGAAAAAAAACAATTATAAAATAACATTTAATATGAAACAAATTGAGTAGATATAGTTATATCTTAAATACAAAAATATTTGTAAAAAAACTCCGGGCGTAGCCTAGGAATAATTTATAGTTATACATGTATATAGATAATTAATTTAAAATTAAATTAAATTTATAATCATATTGGACCGGTGTGACTATTGACCTAACTGCAATGTCAAGTAAATGTTCAGTTTGATATTTAAAACATTGATGGCAAAGATTAACATTCTATTTTCTGTTTTTAATTATAAATTCAATTATACAATATATAATATATAAACAATATAATTAGAAAATTTGTATAAGAAATTAGCCGCGCGTAGCGCGGCCAAAAGATCTAGTTTAAATAAAAGCATATTAGTATTCACTTGATTTTTTAACATTAATTGAACTGAATACTCGATGCTTAATCCATACCCATCGTTTTGTTATTTTTTTTTTATCTTTTAACGTTTTTATTTTCTGTAGTAATGATTTAAATTTTAGAGTAATGATTAACGGACAAAGGGTGACTAAAGGCAACACGTACATTTGATGACGACGATACCATTGTATTTTAATAAGAAGTGAAAATGATGTTAAGTTCAAACAAAACGGCCATGGTGTAAGTAAGTGAACTCGATGGAACATTCAGCGCAAACCAATGATAAACTTCCGGCTTTGGTCTTTGACATGTTATCCAAAATCCATTTTTCATTCGACGTCTTACTCTATTCATATATATATTTTATGCTAATTATAAAATACATATATGATGTAATATTCGAAAAATACCTATAGTAAGTTAGTAACATATTGTGATGTTCCTCCCCAGCTAAGTGCTAAA